TGCGTGCCCGTGAGCTGTAAGCCAGCCGTGTGCGTGCCCATGAGCTGTAAGCCAGCCGTGTGCATGCCCGTGAGCTGTAAGCCAGCTGTGTGCATGCCTGTGAGCTGTAAGCCCATTGTGTATGTGGCTCCCTCCTGCCAGTCCTCTGGGGGCTGCCAGCCCTCCTGCCCCACCCTGCTCTGCAGGCCTGTCCCCTGCGGCACCCCTACGTGCTGCTGAGCCCACGGCCTCCTAGGACCCCTCCTCCGTGCTGTCAGAAGTAGCTGCTCTCCCAACTCCTACCAGGCAGCCCAGACATCACCCACTTCAGACCTTCTGGACCCAACTAGACCATCTTACAGCAAAGTTACTTGATCCCCCATACCTAGGCGAAGAGTCGCCCCCAGTGTCTCTGGCTGGTGTGGAGTGCCCAGCTCTGCAGCCCTGCACAAAAGTCTAATAAATTCCAGAGTGATCTGAAACCCACTGTGTGCACCGTCTCTCCTTTATGCCTGTCCCTGAACTGCTTCCTCTGGGCGTGGCTCCCAGAATTCAGAAACACTCCCTCTGCGGACAGGCCACAGGTTACCAGATGTCTGTACCCTGGGGGACCGGCCACTCAGGGGTGGCCTCTTGGGTGAGTGGGCGCTCCTAGCTCAGGGCCTCTGGGCCCTGGGCTTCCTTTGGTCCGCTTTGGTCCCTTGAACCAGCAAGGTTATTTCTTACTCTGCTGGGGGTACTGAGGGCGAATCTCTAACTTTGGGGTTTGACCCTTTTTAGGTAAAAAGGTCCCCTGCTCAGCAACCAATATGCGGAGCCAACCCAGCTCAAAATGAAAGTGTACGCCCTACAGATGAGTAGGGCTCCTCCTTCTCCCATTCGGGGGGAGAGGGCTTTGTGGGTGACTTTCGTGGCTCCCGGAGATGTCCACACCCTCATCCTCAGAACCGGTGAACACAGGTTCTGCAGAACTGCAGGCATGGCGGCTCCCCAGACGGGGTGGACTGAGGGTCTTGCCCCGGGAGCCGTCCTGGATTGGTTCGGGGCCTCACGTCATCCCAGGGACGTGGGAGAAGGGAGAGGAATGGCAGCTGCGGAAGAGGAGGCGGTGGGAAGAGGGACACTGGGCTGCGGGCTTGGAGCCCCGTCACCTCCGACTCCTTCTCTCTGTGGGCAACGGTAGCCTGCTGACGGTGTAGACGCCCCGCCTGTGAGCAGTTCTGCTGGCCTTGTAGATGCCAACAGAGCTGGTGGCACCACTAGTGGCTGGGAGGGACAGGGAACGGGTCGTGCAGGTGTTCCGGGAGGACCCAGGCCTGCCACACCCTGGTTTCAGTGCATGAGGCCCGCTCCAGACTCTGGCCATGGAGCCGTGAGAGAGTCCGCTGGTGCCGCTGTGGCCACCGTGTGTGCGGTCTGTCTCAGGGACCACGGCACAGACAGAGCCTCTCCGTGGCAGAGCCTTGGGTGGCTGCCCTCCTGTGTGCCCATGCGTGGAGCCTGCACTGTTCTGGGTCGGGACACCTGGCCCAGAACCTGCCCCTGACAGTGTGGGCTTAGCCCCTGTGGTGTGACCACAGACCACCCAAGAGCAAGGATGCTGGGGCCGCCCTGGGTGGGAGACGCCCAGAGCGTGCACGGTCATCAGCACAAGGGAGCCGGGGCACACCAGGGTGCCAGTGGGGAGCTATGTGAGAACCAAGAAATAGTCTAAGAGGAGTGCTGGGGGGGTCCTTCCTGCGACGGGACCACGGATCCATGGATCTGGAAATGTCCATTATCGTGAGGTCACGGGATACGTGATGGGAAATTCAGAGGGACTCTCAGAGCACCTACTGTGCACAGCTCTGCCTCATCCTTGGTCCCATGCAGACCCCACACCGGCCACCTGTCTCCCCGTCACGGGTGTCCAGCCCCTGCGGGTCATGCCCTCACCTTGCAGACACCCTCCCTCCAGGCACACCGGCAGCCATGGCGCCATCCGCCAAACAGCGGGGGAGCCTGCCCCAGTCCTCAGTGATGTTTTTGAGGGCAGTGACCGTCCCGGTCTGAGACATGATGGTTATGGGGGTATCTGGGGCCTGGGAGCTGCCCCCAGAAGGGCTCCCCGAGATCTGGAGGGTCTCAGAGCATCAGGCATTGTCCCCGCACTGTGTACACGTGTTAAAGAAGCCTCCCGAGGTAAAGACTCCTGTCACCTCCGACTCCACCACTCCCCACCGCTGGGCAGTGGTGGCCGGCTAACCGTGTAGACTCCCTATCTGTGAGCAGCCTGGCTGACCACGTAGATGTCCCATCTCCGATCAGTCAGACTGACTGTGTAGACACCGCGGCATGGAGCAGTCCAGCAGACTGTGTAGATGCTCTGTCCGTGGGTAGTCTGGCTGACTGGGTAGACACCCCAGCTGTGAGCAGTCTTGCTGACTGCATAGACGCCCCATCTAAAAGTAATCTGACTGTGTAGACGCTCCAGGCTGGAGCAGTTTGGCTGACTGCGTAGAGGCCCTGCCTGTGGGCACTCTGACTAACCATGTAGACACCCCACCTGTGAGCAGTCAGACTGACCGTGTAGATCCCCTGTCTGTAAGCAGCCTGGCTGACTGTGTAGACTCTGTCTGTGAGCAGACAGTTTACTGTGTAGACGTCCCAGCCAGGAATAGTCTGTCTGACTGTGTAGATGCCCCATCTGTGAACACTGAGACTGATCGTTTAGACGCCTCGTCTGTGAGCAGACAGTTTACTGTGTAGATGCCCTAGCCAGGAATCATCTGGCTGACCATGTAGACGCCATATCTGTGAGCAATCTGGCTGATTGTGTAGATACCCCGTCAGTGAGCAGTGTGACTGACTATGTAGACGCCCCATCAGCGAAGAGCCTGGCTGACCTTGTAGACACCCCGTCTGTGAGCAGTTCAGCCGACCATGTAGAGGCCCTGGCCGGGAGCAGCCTGGCCACCGGTGGCCGGCCATGCCTTCTTCAGCTGTGACCAACTTTCCTTCAGGAGCCGTCAGAAGGTCCTAGATGTTCTGGAGCCACTGGGCCAGAGCCAGGGAGCATCCTGCAGGGCCCCCCGCCCATCCCTCCCACGTGCTATTTTGGTTACACTGTGCTTCGCTGGTGTTCACGGGAGTCTACATCCCTGACCTTCAGTCTTTGGTTACGGATGCGGTGGGAGCTTCCTCCACGTCTTTAACTCTGTGCCGTGAAGAATCCATCGAGGTCCCTGTTCATTTACCTGTGCAGGTGGTCACATTTCTCTTCAAACGAGCAAGTAATGGGTACAGGTTTTCAGTAAGTTCAGGCAGACTGAGGGATTTAAGAGTCAAGGTGGGTTTGCAACCCAGCCCCTTTCTCTTTAAAGGCCCCCTGAGGTTTTTGCTCTGTCTCCACCTCCCTGGGGTAGAGCTAACTTGGGGCAGGGGACGGAGCCAGCCGCTGTGGAGAGGTAGACACCTTCTGCTCCTCCTCCCGCCTGCCGGGCCTCTGCTGCTCTGCTCCTGGGGGCCTCTTCCGTCTGTTCCTGGCACAAGGGGTGAGTAGGGAGCCTGATGCTGACCTGGTGGTCTGACTGGTGCCCGCTTGACTCTCTAGCACTTGTGGTCCCCTGAGACTGCAGGCTCATCATCTTCCACTGTTCTGAGGATTTGTCAACAAGGCATCTTTTTCTCCCTGTCTCCCCAATCAGACCTTGAAGTCTTGAGTAGAATGAATGATGTCTGAACTGACCCTTCCACCCCTCTGGGGGCCTACAGGGATTTGCTGGTGCTTCAGGGCAGCAGCCCTTGTGCCCAGACCAGCATGCCGGCATTCCTCTGGGCGGCACCTCTCTTCGAGGGAGTCGGCGTGGTGCTAGGCACTGGACCCTCAAGTTCCCACCAGTTAGGTCGTGCTGCTCCTCAGCTCACCCTTAACCTGCATGGGTAGGGGGCCAGGCATGGGCTAGACCCCAAAGTCCCCTCAGGGTCTAAGCCTTGTGCAACCACGCCCACCCCCTCCCCTGGCCCAGGGAGGGCTCATCACTGTGAGGAAGGCCACAGGGTGGGGAAGGGACATGGAGTGTGCAGAGCCACATTCAGACCTCATCATCTCTCAGGGGCTTTGAACTTGGAGTTTGAGAATATGTCTTTATTGTTGGCTTCCACCAGAAAGAGCTCCAGTCCGGAGCGGTCTCTGGGCTCCGAGGAGGAGGAGAAAACAAACACTGGTCTCTAGGTCATGACACAAACATTTTATTGATTATAGCGATTGGCCTTTGTCACGTGGAACACGAGCCACCGGCCCTACAGAAGAGGGTTCCCGGGGAGCCGCAGTCCCCCTCCACTGAGGGACTGGTGGGCATCTCTTCTCAGGAAAGGATGGGCGGCATGTTCAAGTCCCCAGTAGGCAGCAGCTGCGTGTCCACCGACAGGCAGGGGATGGTCTTGGACGTCAGAGCTCCTGAGAGAGGACATTTGTGCCCAGGAGCAAAGA